GGTTTGGGGGAAAGCCCTGAGCCATTCCCAACAGGCGATAACATATGTGACTGAGCCCTTGTTGAGTCCTCAAGTTCCATCAACCTTTTGATGAAACTCTTGCAATTATGACATGCTGGAACTGGCTTCCGGCAGATGGGGAATTGTTACCTTTCTGTCCCCGGTGTAGACACTGCCATTTTCATCACTCTCTTCAGTGGAACGGGTCTAGGACATAGTAATGCAAAGACTGTTTTTGTTGGTGGACCACTTCTCCCCGTGCACCATGATATAAAATCCCCTTCTTCCTGAACTAAGTTGAAATGAAAGGGAATCACCATTCATTTTTATATAATCTAAGGATCATTAGTGCTTTTCTCATGCCTTTAATTACTCTTATTTTCCTCCTTATTTACTCTTAATGTCTCAATTCATGGCATGGCAAGGGAAGCAAGGGTTTCAAATGCAGCCAGTCATTTCCCCCCCATTCTTTGCACTTTTGGAAAAGGATAAAATACTTGTAATGGCAGTGATTTTTAAAAGACAAAGTTTAATATAACATAGACAGCTTCCTCCTAAACCATTTTTTAAAATCTACAGCTAAAAAATTAACAATCCATTCCAGTACCCTCTAGGTCTACTTTGAAATATTATTAACATGCTTTAAATCAACTGAAAATTAGAAGCACAGGGTTTTCCAGTTCAAAGAGACCTTAATAGAACCAGTCATTTGTGCATAAGAAAACTGAGGCTTAAAGAACTTGAGAGAGTTCTCCCCGGTCCCGTCACAACCATGGGAACCTTTTGTCATTTCAGCGGTAGGACCACGTTCCTCCCAGAACAAGAATAAAGAGATCTGTGTGTTTTTGCAAGTAGGAAAAATTGCCTTGGGCTTTTGATACATTGAAAAATTAAAATAGTCATGATAGGACAAAACTTGAATTTTGGAGAAAGAGGCAATCTTAGGAGCTATTAAACAGGAAGATATATAAAAAGATGGGACAGTAATTTCTTGGTAACGGGTGCTTTGAGATTTTTAATATTTGGTCTATTTTTGTGATGAAATTGAAATATTTTGACACTAAGATCCAGTCTGGCTGTTTAGCTGGCATATTATTGTAATGTTGACTATTTTGGATGTCCTGAACTGTCAACAGTCTTTTTTCCCCCCTTATAAATAGTTAACTTTAACTTATAGCATGGGAAGTGTATTTGGGGAAACGGATGATGCCAGCAGTCAAACCCTCAGATGCACCCAGGCACCCCTGATCCTGTTGGCACTGCTGACAGACTCTCCTGCAAAACCAAAATGCACAATTGAGAGACATGAGCCAGTGCTGAGAGGACGAGATAGCTCCCATCCTATAAACCCACATCTCAGTCAGAAGTCACTTCATTTTCCATATGCTCGGCGTGCATGCTAACATGTAATGACACACAGTTGAAAAGGCCCAGTATCCCCTATTTTTCAGTCTCTGCATTAGGCACTTATATTTTTCCAACACTAGAGGGCCCAGGGGTTCAGGAAGGGGAGAAGAGGAAGGTGGAATAAACAGGAAGGCATAGCAACTTTAGAAATTCCCAAGGAATGAAATAAAGGGAAGGCGATCAAAGGGTCAGTTTAATTACTGATGGGAGCTGATTTAAAGGACGGGGCTATGATGAGCAGGAATAATAGGTTTCTTAATATTGACCCCTAAAAATAGACATGCTCCCCCCTCCAGGCAGCACAGAACAACTCTGCCTCTCCTGTAGGATGCTCAGGCGTGGTGTTTGCTCCTGGGAGGAAGCAGGGGGATGGCACTCAGCCACACAAGCTTGTCCCTTCCCCCAGCTCAGTAATCAGATACTGTGGGGAGGAGCTAGAGGCGGAGTTTCCCCGGAAACATCCCTCCTTTAGTGCTGGTAGGAAGTAAGTGTCCCCTTCCTGCTGGTAGAGGAGAGAGGGGATATCAAGGGATGGGCCCTTTTGGATCCTCAAGGGCCATATCTGAGAAGTTAAATTTTCTGTATCTGGGAAGTTGAGAGAATAAAAGGAGACATATGTAAAGCTCTGGGTATCACGACTCGTTTGCTTTTTGGTTGGTTTGCTTTAAGACAGAGGAAGTGCAAAAAAAACACACCAACACACACAAAAAACAAACCACAAAAAAACCAATTTCATTCAGTCTTCTACGTGGATACTTCTACATGTTCTTCTTTGCCCTATTTTACTTGTGATTTGGATAACCAGGTAATGATGGAACTAGTCTCTGAAATAGGGTAAATAAATATAAGAAAGGTTTGTGAGGAATAGTGAGTTCCATTTCTGACCTACTGAACATGAGATATCTGTGCCAGAAATTATAGGCACTTGGATTTATGATTTTTGTAATGCAGGAGAAAGTGAACTAGTTAATTTGCAACTCAGTTTAGAAATTAAGTAGGTAAACCCCTTTAGAGTGCTGGAGACTGACCCTGAAGAGCATACGATCCCAGGAATCAGCAGAGGGCAGGAGCCACTGAGGAGAGTGGGCAGCACAGAAGTCAAGGAGAGGGACCATTTCAGGAAGGAGGGATGAGTCTGTGTCAGATGCTGCAGAGGGATCGGGTCAGGTAGGATAGGAAAAGAAAACAAATGAAGGTGTAGATAAGGCCATAGGCATTACAGCTCTCAGGTAAGGAGCACTTACTATATGCCAGGCACTGTGCTATTTTATTTGCTCATGTACAATATCAACATAATTCTCAAACCACTACCCACATTTATAGATTAGGAAAATGAGAGTCTCAAAAGTTTAGTACCAGCTTGACTTAGGTCACATAGCTAGAACATGACATAGCTTAGACTCGGATCCCTGCCATCTGACTTAAGTACTGAGCTCCCCTTCCTTCTGGAAGACTTGCTTTTGCCCATGTGTGGGGGGAGCATTGTGGGTTGAGAGGGAGGCAGGTGTGAATGGAGGGGAAAGAGAGGACAGCAAGTGGAAGAGGGTAGGCTGAGGTTTGCCTCGCTTGTTGGTTGGTTTGCTTTAAGACAGCAGAGGCTTCTGCACTATTAAATGGTGAGAGGGGCTCAGAAGGGAGTCGAGATGTTCAGGGAAGAGGTAGAGGCTGTGGGCAGGTGTGCGTGTGGAGCACGTAACCTTGGGAAGGAGAATCCCTCCTCCTCTGTGACAGGATAGAGCAGAAGTAACTGAACTTGTAGTTTAATGTCAGAACGTTGAAGTAGTTCTCTTCTGATTATTCTCATTTCTCTCTGCCCCTCCCCCTTCTCCCCATTTCTCACCACCTGTCCCCTTCTCTGTCGGAAACATCCAGCTTCCCCATCAAGGTTTCGCCCTTGTCACTCTCCTGTGCCCTCAGTCAGGACTATTTCCTCTGGGCTCCCAGGAACCCTTGATAGCTGTTCAATCCACAGGCACGGCTGGGTGTGCACCGGCAGGACCCACTCTCACCTGCTGGCTGTCCCTTCATGCTAAGGAAGCACGATTAAGCTTGGTTTGCTCTAAGATCTGGAGTCACTCTGCAGGAGCTTATGGTTTTGAAGGGGACAAAGATAAGTGTGCAAATTATTATAATAAAAGTTGTATGCGAGAAGCAAGGGTGCTTCAGACTTCAGGTGGGGGAGTGGAGCGAGGAAGAGAGAGAGAGAGAGAGAGAGCACTTGCATGAATGATAGGCAGGGAAACTTCAGAAGGAGTGTCGTTTTGAGCTAGATGTTGAAGGATGGACATATTTTTGTCTGACAACCGTAAGGAGTAGGCTATTTAATTTGGGCAAAGTAGCATCAGAAATGGCACAAAGCTTTTTTGGGGAACATGGATGGTCACTTTGGCTGAAGGATGGACTGAAGATCGGAAACATTGTAGACATACTAAAACACGGTTTTAAGCAGCCTTTTGCACTTAGCCAACAAGTTTTTCATAAGCGTTTAGAGATCATAACTACCATTTTCATTCCAGAAACTAGCCATACCAATATTCACACAGTCCCTGACAACACCTTGGAGCATATAAGGGAAGACTGTGTCGCACTGGGGGTGGGAAGGTGAACCAGCCATGAGCCTGTTCTTGCAGTTGTAGCATTGGGACCAACACCAGCTTTCTCACTACTTATAAATCACTATTCTTAATAACTATTTCTAGAAAAAAGTAAAATGAAAAATAAAAACCTCTGTTTTCTTTCAGTTAAGAAAAAGAAGCCTAAACTATTAAATAAATTTGATAAGACTATTAAAGCTGAACTTGATGCTGCAGAAAAACTCCGTAAAAGGGTAGGTTGATGTTTTTGTTTTGCACAGAAATGTGCAGTGATTGATTGTTAAATAAACTCAGGCATTACTCTTGATTTAATTTAAAAAAAAATGTTCAGAGAAACAACCTTTGAATAGAAGGTTTTTCCCCAGCGACATCAGTTTTATATGTGAAAGGAATCAAATGAACAGAAAAAGTGCAGCTGTGATGGCCAAATAGAAATAATAGAATTTACCTTCAAGCCAGCTGCCTTGGGAGTCAGCCCACTTCCATCACATTCTAGTCCTGTGGCTTTGGGCAAATCACTTGGCCATTCCAAGCCTCGGTTTTAAAAAATGAGAATAATAATCATACTTCCTATTTGGTTTTTTAGTAAAGATCAAATGAGATTAGGGGGGAAAGCATCAATACTATCAAGTACCATGTAAGTGGAGGTTTTAATTTCATAGCACTTCAATCCAAAAGAAAAAATAGGTAAGTCCAGTTCTCAGGGTAGTTACTGTTGGGTTAAAAGACATTACGTTTCACATTCATCTCACTTGGGGTTAACCTCAGGCACCTCCAGTTTTCAGGGTGGCTTTTATGTTTTGCTTTGTTATCAGTTAATTTGAAATATTATTTACATTTGTTTTGGATATCACAGCGGTGTGTTGTTGTTGGGTATTTTTGTTTGTTTTTGTTAATCTTCACCTGAAGATATTTCCCCCATGATTTTTAGAAAGAGTGTAAGGGAGGGAGAAACATCGATGTGAGAAAGACACATTGATTGGTTGCTTCCCACACGCACCCCAGCTGGGACCCGGGAACAAACCTGCAACCCAGGTACATGCCGAGGCTATACCACTGAGATGCTATACCACTGAGCCACACTGGCCAGGGTTAGATATTATAGTTTTTTAAAACTGTGAATTGACACAGATGGAAGTTTTTTGTAGTCTTAACTCAGTCATATTCATCTGGTTATTAGGCCAGATATTTATTGTATGTAATGACATCTTCCCTTAATCATCTACTTGGTCTTTATGGAAATTTCTCTTTCTCTACTCTGTACTTGAATTTATACTCAGTGTAATGCTCTAGTTTTCCTGTAATATCCTCTTTCTATTAGTAAACTTTGGTTGCAAGAAAAGGGACCTTGGACTGTAAGTAAATAAGCAACCACAATAAAAAAAGAAAAACAAGTAAGAAACTGACATGGGACAAGAATGTGCTTCCCGCACATTTATTGAGAATGTACCAGCAAGTATGATGGCTTCTGCATTACCCTCATTACCAGCCAATAAAAATATAGTAACACCAAAGAATATTGCAGTCATTGTTCGCTAAATTAACCCCATGGAATGGCTTCTGAGTCCATCGTGTTCAACTCTATAAAATGAAGCCATCTACTATTTTTAGGAAATTTGCATTTCTTAATAGAAGTGAAGCAGGCACCCTCTTTTTCTATCACCTTGCTTGGCATCCTCCACTTCCTCTGTATTAAATGCCATCTATGCAAATGTGGAGTGCCTGTTAATAGGTGACTTTGGGGATAAAGAACAAACAGCTTCGGAGAGGGATTTTGATGTAATTATAATGCATGGAGACGGCTCAGTTATCAAGGGGCAAATACGTCAGGAGGACATAAACGTGCTGGAACAATCCATGGAGTATCCTCTGGTTTTTGCTTATTTGGAGAAATGATGCTTTCCTTAAGGAGCGCCCTGTATCTATAACAGGATAAATAAAGACGGAGGAAGTGGCCACATAGGCTATTCTTGCTTCTGAATCAACGGGGAGCCAAATTATTGACAGAATCATCAATTATTGACTAATTAAGTCTTTTAGGGTTGTTTTAGAGCTGGCATTTTCAAATGATGCAACTGACTCCCCTGGAAGAGCAGGGTCCCAGCTGCAGGGTTGTGAGAGGGTTACCTTGCGGCCACAGGAAGCTAATGCAGATACTTAGAAAACAGTCACAGAGGAAAAGATATTTAACCTGAATTCTTCGTTCCTTAAAGTCATTCACAGAAGAAATAAACCAGTGGTTTTAAAAACAAACTGTTATCCACAATACAAAGAACTCGTAAAATTAAACACTAAGAAAACAAATAATGATTAAAAAACAGATCTTAATAGACATTTCTCCAGATGACATAAGGTGCTCCAAGTCACATGTTATCAGGGAAATGAAAATTAAAACAACAATGAGGTACCACCGCACACCCATTAGATTGGCCAAACGCTGATCACTGACAACACCAAATGCTGACAAGGTCGTGGAGCAACAGGAGCTTTCATTTATTGCTGATGAGAATGCAGAATAGCACAGCCACTTTGGAAGACAGTTTTGTGGTTTCTTACAAAAGTAAACATACTGTTACTGTACAATCGAGAAAGCCTGCTCTTTGATATTTATTTACCCAAAGGAGTTGAAAGCTTACATGCACATAAAAACCTGTACATGGATGTTTATAGCAGCTTAATTCATAACTGCCAAAACTTAGAAGCAACCAAAATGTTCTTTAGTAGGTGAATGGATAAATTAACTGTGTTATATCGAGACAATGAAATAATACTCAGCACTAAAAAAAAAAAAAAAAGGAATGAAAAGACATGGAGGAACCTTAAATGCATATTATTAAGTGAAAAAAAAGCTAATCTGAAAAGGCTGGCTACTGTATGATTCCAATTGTATGACATTCTGGAAAAGGCAAAACTATGGAGACATAAAAGGATCAGTGGTTTCCTGGGGTGAGTGGCGGGCAGGGGAGAGGGGAGAGAGATGACTAGGCAACTCGTAGAAAAATTGTAGGGCTGTGAAACTATTCTGCATGATACTATAATGGTGGATACAGAGAGAGTGCATTTATCTTTTTATCTAAACCCCTAGAATGTACACCACCAAGAGTGAACCCTAAGGTACATCCTGGACTTTGGGTGGCGATGCTGTGTCAATGTAGGTTCATTGGTGGTAACAAGTGTACCCCTCAGGTGCAGGGTGCTGATCTGTGCTTGTGTTGGGCTCCGGGCATATGTGAAATCTCTATATTCTCTCCTCTCAGTTTTGCTGTGAACCTAATACTGCTCAAAAAATGAATACTGTGAGAGGGATAGCAGATTTTAAATAGTGATACAATTACTTCTGACAATAAATATAACTTAGAGAATGTGTTCCTGGCTTGATTTAGCTCTACATCCCAGTCCTCATTTACTCTGCATTAACCTGCCTATCTATCAGGTAAGAGACTTATCTGGGATGCTCCCCATTATCTTGTGCTGGCACACACATCCTCCACACAGCACAGTAATGATCATCATCGTAATAATAATAATAACAACAGGTAACATTGTTCAGTGCTTTCTGTGTTTGTAGACGTATAGTCTTGTCTACAAGCACTCTATATATGTTTTCAGATTTGGCCTTGACAGCAGCCCCACAAGGTAGTCAAGGGCCTTCACGATCCCCATTGAACAGATGAGGCACCCAAGGCAAAGTCATCAGTTACTTGTCTTAGGACATACAATTCCAAGTGGTGGGACCAAACTCTCACCAGTCAGCCTGGCTCCGGGCCTGCGCTCAGACCGCCTCACTATGCATGGTTTTCACCAGCCCTCGGTGCCGCTGATGGCCTGTGAGAGGGTACAGGAGCCCTCTTTCCATGATGTCTGGGTAAAGGAATGATTGTAAGGAACTGTAGCAGGCAAGTTGTCTTTGGAAGTAGGTGGAAGTAACAGTTGGTGGGCCGTACAATTTGCTTCGTACAGCCACACTGTGAGGTGTGAAAACCCACTCAGGGAGGGGCAAACACATAGAAGCCACAGTGAGTTTGCATTTACATGTGGACTGGATGGATTTGTCAATTTATAGGCAGCTGAGGGTCTGGGAAAGTGTAACTCTGCCTCTCTCCCGTGGCTCCAAATATCCTAGACCTACTTCTGTTAGACACCAGGACATATGTGTGTGACCCTGTGGAACGGTGCTGATGGAGTGAGGTGGGGAGAAGGCTCCTCGGCCCTGTGCCAAGACCCTCACCTGTGTACCTGTTGCACATCCTCTGTTCCTTTCTGCAGTTGTGGTCAGACACCAATCACAGGTGCTCGGCCCATTTCCTTAAGGACCCATGTGAGCCCTGGGAGGGGTCCCATGACACAGAGGCAGCAAGGCACTGCAGGCAACCAGATGGGCCAATCAACCCGGAAGTCCAGTGGGTGACCGGAACCACGGTCACCTGGCCCTCGCATCCTGCATCCTTATTCCCCACCATTTTCCCAGATGCTTCCGACTTCTCATCACAGACCCAAGACATTCTAGCTGCCAGCAGTATTTTCCCCCAACTTAAAACCTAAATATTTTCTTTAAGAATGCATGTAGGAATTATACGTATAGAGGGAAAATGCAATTTCTTTTAAAGAAGACTCCTATTACATTTGTCATGTTTCTTTCTGTCTTTTAAGAGATAAACTATATTTATATGCATTTCTAGTTTTACGTTTCCAGAATACAGTTCATATTTTTTTTCCAGTTAATATTTTTTAAAAGCTTAGATAAAACTGACTTTTAAACTCAGAATGGAGTCCAGGAAATGTTGACAGAATTACTTGGTGAATATTTAATAACTGTATTGAACAGCATTATGCATGTGAATTTATTGTATTTATGTAATGATCTCTTCCTAACAGGGAAAAATTGAGGAAGCAGTGACTGCATTTGAAGAACTAATTCGTAAATACCCCCAGAGTCCACGGGCGAGATATGGGAAGGCACAGGTATTCTAGAACCCTTCCACTTAGATCATTGTGGGTGATGTCCTTGTGTTCTGTATAATTGGGTTTCTGATCGGCCACTATTTGCATTTTCTTTTTCCCTCCTAACTTTTATACAGAATCAATTTCTCGTGCATATGCACAAACTCAAGCAAGAAATACTGTTTTAAATAAGACAATGAATTATTGCTGTTGTATAAAGCTGAATTTAGAAATACTCCTTCCCTCCCTCCCTCCTTCCCTCCCCCCTCTCCCCTTCCCAATATGGCATCTCTGTGGTTTTGAAATGAAAATGAAGAATAACACTTTGGTCATTGATGTCCCATCACCCTTCCATTCCATCCCATTTAGACCCACCGTATAATTTTCACATTAGGCTCCTGAGAGCTTTTAAGAACCTCAGTTTTATAATGAGAGGTTGCAAGTGTGCTTAGGAAAGACTTTCAAACTATAAAAAGGAATATACTTATGCTCTCTATAGTTTCTTCCAGCTGGCTTCTTTCTCTCCAGCGCCCTCCCCACTGTCCCCCGCTCCCACCATCTCCATTTCTCTCTGACTCTCCATCGTCCAGTCCTCATTTCAGGCAGCTTTCCCACCTCCACCTGTAGCTGCATAACCCCTTGCGTGCCACAGCGTGTTCGGGCCCTGCGATTGTCACGGGCTCTCCAGAGGTCTCTGTCCTGGTGGGTCTTGTATTCCAGTGGAAGACGTTTTAAAAGTTACTCAAATTACTTAGTGAAAACCCACGAATTGCCAGGCCCTGTTTAGGCACCACAGATGCAGCTGTCAACAAAACATGGGTGTTTATTGTAACGGCAGAGACAATGCATAAGACAAATGTGTAAATGTCTACGCCTGCTAGTGGTGAGTGCTAAGGAGAAACAGCATAAAGCAGAGAACAGCACTGGACGTGGGAGGAGATGGAATACGGGATGGGGGCAGGGAAAGCTCTCCCGAAGAGGTGACATTTGAGCAAAGCCCTGAAAGTCTATAAATAAATGTATATTCGAAGAATGTTACAAAGTGTTAAAAATAAATATTAGATCCTCGGACATAGTCATGCATGCCATAATAAAAGAAGGGAATGGGATAAAGAGCGCACCTGTTAAGATTTGGGGGCTGCAGGTCATGAGACAGGGCGGGCAGCACTTCAGATCAGGTGATCAGAAAAGGCCTCGCTAGGGAGGGACAAGTGGCTGAGAGGAGACCAGGCTGTGGAAGGAGCTGGCGGGGCAGAGGGAGCAGCAGGGCAAAGGCTGTGGTGCAGGGAGGCATATGCTCCAGGACAGAACGGAGGGCCGCCGAGGGACAGTGAAGTAGGACCGGTGAGGCCAGGGCCTCCCAGGTTGCATCTCCTACACACTGGGAAGCCACGGAGGGTTTACTGGATGACTTTTGCATGGATGTGACTCTATTTTCCTCTTACATAAACGTTGTTGTGGTTGCTGGGTGGAGAATGGATTATGAGGGCAAAAACAGAAGCAAGAATTAGACTATTGCGAGTGCACTGGCGATGCCGTGGCTCAGGCTGTGGTCGTGGCAGTGGAGATGGGGAGCTGGGCTGAGGGCAGAGCTGAAAGGACTTGATGGGTTTAGCTGTAAGGTCACAGAAAGGGGGATTCCAGGGTGAGTCTGGGTTTCTGGTTTGGCCATCTGAGGAGAGGATAGAGGAAGAGTGGTAGAGGGACAGGCTTGGGGAGGTACAAAATCAATTTGATTTTTGGTCCTGTTGAGTTTGTTATGCCTGTTAGACATTCAAGTGCGCATGTCAAGTAGAACCCTGGATTCATGGAGTCTGGAACTCGGGGTAAGAGCCAGGGTGGATATACACGTGTCAGGCAGTGAAGGCCCTGCCTGGTAGCTGGAGGTCGATTCTCAGCCCTGCTGGCAAACAGCAGGTGCAGAGCTACCAAAATACTCCAGACACAGAGGAGCTAGCAGCACCCCTCCGAGGGAGGCAGGGCCGTGACTGATGTGTGACACACACAGGAATTCACACATTTACGGACAAAACAAGTATGTTTTGCTCTGAACTAAAGGTGGCGACCACTCAAGATCCGGATGCTCAAATTCTTCTTACCATTGAAAATGTATCAATTAAATTTTAATGAATTAAGGTTACCAAAAATTAATGCAAATAAATTCCTCTTATCCATATTATATACCAGGTTTAGCAGATAGCAACTGTATCATTTTTGTAAATTAATTTGGTCAGTAATCCTGCCAAATTGCCAAATTGTATTGCTATTAAACCAGAGAGAATGTGTTTCCAAAAACTCATGCTCATTGAAATAAGTGTCACTGGTATTGATAGTCATTTGGTTAAGGAAAGCATATTAACTAGAGAGAAGATGATTGGTGCAAATGCTAATTAAATTATGGCAGAAATGCTTTGTGCTTTAGAATGTTTCTTTATATGTAGTATTAATTATGGATACCAAAATCCAAATAAATGCACTAATTTTTACACGTGGTGATTGCTATGTTTGCATCCACATGTAACAGTAGGAATTTGAGATTTAGGCCTTAGGCAAAATTTTTTTTATCTCTAAGCTATTATGCTATAAGGTGTTACTGATATTTATGTATTTTGACATAAAGTAAAATTTAGGCATGTTAATTTAATGCGTAGGAATTTTAAAAACAAAAGTTCAATGGAAGATAATTTTTTTTTAAATTCTTACCCAAGGACATGGTCAGAGTAAGGAAGGACGATGGGCAGGGAGAGAGAGAGAGGCACAGGGGGAGGGAGAGGGAGAGGGAGAAACATCCTTGTGAGAGAGAAACATCAATCTGTTGCCTGGCAACCTTTCGGTGCACAAGAAGATGCTTAACCAACTGAGCCACTCCGGCCTGAATAAATGATGACTTTTTCATTCTTTGTTAGCAGATTATATAATTACTTTAGAATATCCCAACAAATTTTAAAAGCTCGGCAACATTAAGTTAAATACAAATTATAGTATGAATCATTTCTGAAATAGCAATCCCATTCTTTGGATCACTGTGAAAATAAATTTTGACTTAAGTTCTCTGAACATAAGACAACAAATCTTAGGTTATAAACTCAATTCACATTATTCTCTTACACGAACCATTAATGTCTCTGAGGCAGAAAATGACACATCTCCTAGGAAGGTTGGATGGGTTGAGTCACTAAAAGGCTTTATAATGTAAATGTCCTGGAACCAGTGTTCAGTTCCCTGTGCGTGGAACAGAGCCCGATTCCCAGAAAATAGTTGTGGAATGAATGAATGAACACAAGAATCAACTGATGGAAGACCAGGAATGGTGGACTGGAGACCTGTCTGTATAATGTTAGTATGTAACATGATATAAATAACCATCAGTCCTAGTATATATTAGTCTCAGGTTTGTTTATTTTTATATTCTTTCTTGTCTGTAGCTTAGCAGCTAACTTTTCTTCATATTATTAAAATAACATGTTGTATTGCTTTCCTTTGTTTATTTTTTAAAATATTTTTTATTTTTTTACAGAGAGGAAGGGAGAGGGATAGAGCGTTAGAAACATTGATGAGAGAGAAACATCGATCAGCCGCCTCCTACACACCCCCCACTGGAGATGTGCCTGCAACCAAGGCACATGCCCTTGACCAGAATTGAACCTGGGACCCTTCAGTCCGAAGGCCGACGCTCTATCCACTGAGCCAAACCGGTCAGGGCAATTTTTTTTTTTTAGTCTCTCGATTAAGAGAAAACTTTAACCTGTCTTGAATTATTTTTAGAGCACATACAAAAGTTCACTTTTCATGAATATCTTGGGTGGTTATAAATATTCCTTGTCCTGGGACATTTATTTACTGTGGGACTTCCTTTAGTGTGAAGACGATTTGGCTGAGAAGAGGAGGAGCAATGAGGTGCTGCGCAGGGCCATCGAGACCTACCAAGAGGTGGCCAGCCTGCCCGACGTCCCCGCCGACCTGGTGAAGCTGAGTTTGAAGCGGCGGTCAGACAGACAACAGTTTCTAGGTAAGATGGAATAAGAGAAGTCAGTTCAGTCGCACAGGCCATGCTTTGACCTTGCAGAGCCTGTGTGTTCTTAGAAGAATCTAGTTACCTGGAAGGAAACCCGAGTTCCAGAACCAATTCCAGGTCATTCACCCGACTGTTTCTTAGACTGACATGGAAATCCCCACCTTGATCATTACAAAGAAGCCGATGCTATTTTTACCACCCTTCCATCCTCACCCCACCCCACCCATTTTAAAACAGAGGTCAATCGGAGGCCAAGAGGCTGAATAATTTGCCTAAGGAGTTATTGCTAATAAATGAATAGGTCTAGAATAAAAAAACCCTTCCTGTCACGCCAAATCTCTTTTCTCTTAAACTAGAACAGCCCGATTCATGAAGGTTAAAATGATCAGTGGGACCATTTTTGTAGCGGAATATTAAGAGTTTTAGGCACTCTAAAATTTTACTGTAAGGTTTGACTCTATAGCAAGGAAAATGTTAGAAAAAAATTTTTTAAATCACTAAGTGCTTTGAAAAGAGCAGCATAAAGCAGATTCTCTGCGTGACCCAGGCTCCCAGAGCCGAGGCAGGAAGACCGGCTGTAACCCCCCTTCATTATCGCCAGGCTGTGGGCCTCTCCCTCCTAACATGTAAACCGGGAAGGCAGAACCTCAGCCCGTGCTAAGGTGGGTGCTAGGCTGGCTGGGTCAGTCACATGAACGAATTATCGACGCTCCTAGGAGAGGCTCGTGTAAGTAATATTCAAGACAAAATGACCCTTTTATCAGCTGTCTGAGGGATGGAATTAAAGGTCGTATGTCACTTTGGTAGATGACAGAAATCTCTGATAGAAGATGGCCCAGGTGATGATTAAAAACAGAAGAACTGGTCAGTTAAACTTATATTCCTAAGGATCCGTTCAGAGGAAGAAAAGAGTTCGGCGCACATACAGGTGGTGGAGGCAAGGCTGGGCTCAGGTGGAGGCACTCGTGTTGGGGGCAAAGTCCATGTGACTGAGCTCTCCTCTTGTCTCAGGCTCCAGTATGGCATTGGTTACTGATTTGGTCCTTAAATTTTTGATGTTTTGTTCATCATAGGTTTCTACATTAATTTTGATATTTTAAAAGAAATACATAAAAATCACTCATCTAGATTACTGAATTTTGAGGCACCCTCTTGAACTTTGGTGCCTCACCTGCCTTATTCTAGTCCCAGCCTGGGGGAGAGACTGCCTAGGACAGTGATG